TTGTGATGACGGTAAGTTTCCTAGACCTATACAAGTATCAATGTAAGGTATGTGTGGTAAATTGTGATGACGGTAAGTTTCCTAGACCTATAAAAGCAGCAATGTAAGGTATGTGTGGTAAATTGTGATGACTGTAAGTTTTCTAGACCTATACAAGTATCAATGTAAGATATATGTGGTGAATTGTGATGACTTTAAGTTTCCTAGACCTATACAAGTATCAATATAAGGTTCGTTTGGTAAATTGTGATGACGGTAAGTTTCCTAGACCTATACAAGTATCAATGTAAGGTGTGTGTGGTGAATTGTGGTGACTTTAAGTTTCAAAGACCCATACAAGTATCAATGTAAGGTATGTGTGGTAAATTGTGATGACTCTAAGTTTCTTATACCCATACAAGCATCAATGTAAGGTATGTTTGTTAAATTGTGATGACTTTAAGTTTCCTAGACCTATACAAGTATCAATGTAAGGTATGTGTTGTAAATTGTGATGACTTTAAGTTTCCTATCCCCATACAAGCATCAATGTAAGGTATGTGTGGTAAATTGTGATGACGTTAAGTTTCCTAGACCTATACAAGTATCAATGTAAGGAATGTTTGGTGAATTGTGGTGACTTTAAGTTTCCTAGGCCTGTACACATATCAATGTAAGGTATGTGTGGTAAATTGTGATGACGTTAAGTTTCCTAGACCTATACAAGTATCAATGTAAGGTATGTGTGGTAAATTGTGATGACTTTAAGTTTCCTATACCCATACAAGCATCAATGTAAGGTATGTTTGGTAAATTGTAATGACTTTAAGTTTCCTAGACCTATACAAGTATCAATGTAAGGTGTGTGTGGAGAATTGTGGTGACTTTAAGTTTCCTAGACCCATACAAGCATCAATGTAAGGTATGTGTGGTAAATTGTGGTGACTTTAAGTTTCCAAGACCCATACAAGTATCAATGTAAGGTATGTGTGGTAAATTGTGGTGACTTTAAGTTTCCTGGACCTGTACAAATATCAATGTAAGGTATGTGTGGTAAATTGTGGTGACTTTAAGGGTGCTAGTTCTACATTAAAGTAAGATATAGACAAATTGAATTTAAGAATATTATGTTTAATTATGGTGGGTTTAGGTATATGAATGGTGATTAGGCCTAGTTTTTTTCATTAAAATAGTGGTTTAATATTAAAATTGTCGTTTCATAAATTCAATGTGTAGTAACAATTTGTCTGATACAGATTAAAAACACCATTAAGAACAAACAGACGATTGCAAAGTTTGAAAGGATCGTTAGATGTTCTTGAAGCGCTTAATTATCAAACATGTGTTTTGTATTTAGATTCCCATGCAAGATACATTACGGATCTCTCAAGACCTCAAGCCGAACACTACTGAGATCGTATCATTTTTTAAAAGGAATAAACATCGGACCTAATTGAAGGTATAACTTAGCAATGTTTTTGTTCTGACACTGTTCATTGTAAACAAACGACATCGTGTATCTAAAGTTAACTATCCTGTTAGTCATTGGCCAGAATTGTTAAGGGATTGAATGCCGACTTATCTCAGATTAGACAAAGCGTTCAATATTCCTGTTGATGAAAACTAGTAATTAACATATATCTTAACATGCGTTTTATTTTTTGTTCAATTTGATACAAAACTAAATCATTCCGTCAGTATATAATTCAGATGTCAATTTCATTCCAATCCAAGTTTGGCACGATTTCCTGCTGGTTGTTTCTAGTTTGTAATCATTGTCTTAAGTGGTGAAAATAACCACAGCGGTTCCTGAACATGTCACAAATTACTAATCCTTAGTCGACTTGTTGATTAATTTTTGGATTTTGCTTTTGAAAATAACAATTATCCTTTCATTATTCTTAAAATCGATATTACTGCTTTAATATATAAACTTCATTAATCATACAACAAGTATGAAACAAGCTATTACAACTTATATTAAGCCCGCATGATAGCGCGCGGGTGTCCTAATGTTGCATGAAATTGGAGTACCCGGGGAAAACCCACGTGGTGCAAGGCGAGTACGTTAATCACTGCGCCACCCAACTACTTCTCTTGTATTAGGTGACCGAGTGGTTAAGCCGTCCGACAATCCGGATCCCGAGCACTCCCCTACGGTTCTCCTTTCTCACACTTTTTAAAAAAATCATAGAGGCAGTAATGTTGTGATAGCAGTTATAGTCTGTTTCATATATAGTTTACCTGGTTTTTACCTGTGTTCTCCCAAATTACCTGTATTATATATACCGGGTACAGTGCTGTCATTTACATTTTTATTTGTGTTCTCCCACTTAACCTGTATCATATTTGATAAAGTCTATTTTCATAGTTTTTAGCCATTTTCATCTATACAAACATACAAAACAGTAACAAATATTTTATATATTTTATATACTCAATAGTATATATAAGGATGATAATCCTTTGATTAATTTAAATTTTTAATTTTGGATATAAATTTAAATTGATTTAATCTAGGCCGAAGCAAATTCATATTGGAGCATTATTTTCAGAGAATATTTTTTACCAATAAATGCGTCTTCATTGTAATTATTAGTAACTTAGTATCACTATAATATTTCTAGTTGATGATAATGAATCTTAACAACTGATGGTTTGGGTCCATTAACTGACCACTTTACTGGTGAGCATCGAGTCAACAATTAAGTATACAAGTATATATGAACTTATAAAGGGACCTATAATCTGACCGTTTGCAAAGTGATTAATTACTATTAATAAAGTAATTGATGCTGTGGTGATTAAACAAGAGAGATTGTCCAAGCTGTACATTTTGTAAGTATATAAGAACGTGGAGGGTGAGGTCTCACACATTCCCCATTAACCACCAACATGGCAAATGCACAAATTCAAGTGACGTTTCTTCGCAACAAGTTTTGGAAGACAGAACATCACCTACAACGGATACATTTATTGTGTTAAGAACAACAGAGGTGAGCGTGTATATTGGAGATGTACCAGCCCCAACTGTCCAGCTACCCTTAGTACCCGAAACAACATCCCTACCGGAAACGGCCGCTATTCCCACAACCACCCTCAGGACCATGCTAAGATCGTCGCCCAGGAGATTATTGAGACCATTCGTACCCGCTGCGTGGAGGAAGTGAAACCAATTTCCAGAATCTACGATGAGGAGGTAACCAAGCTTCGATCCGATGATTGGAACGACGACACAGAGAACATAGTCAGACAACTACCCACCTTCCAGTCCACTAAGAATTCCTTTGATCAGAAAAAAGTGTGAGAAAGGAGAACAAACCCCTGTATTATACATGTAGCTTTGATATAGTCTATTTTCATCATTTTTAGCTATTTTTTCATATCATATACCATTTTCATCAGCTAGATCTATACAAAACAGGAACGTGAAATCCAAAAATATTTTATATACTTAATCCTCCACGGGGTCGCGGTTCGAGGCCTGCACGGGGCCGTCGCCAGATACTGACAGCAGGGGGCGGGTGCTTTTTTTTCTCCGGGAACTTCGGCTTTTCCATATCACCAAAACTTGACATGTTGTTAAATAAGAATGCCCTCTATTTGTGGTATTAATGGTGATTACGATTAATGAACACAACTATTCTCTAAACGCAAACATTATCATGGTTAATACACAAAATAACGCCCTCTTATTGGCGGTATCTGAAGTTTATGTGTCCATTATAATGATTAATACTCAAAACAATGCCCTCTGCTGAGGTTTCTGAACGTATGTACGGTGCAGGAAAAAGATGCTTTAATGTAGGTGATCACGCTAATTCACAAAATAGCGCCCTCTACTGGCGGTGTTTTAAATATCCTGATCACGATCAATACACAAAACAACGCCCTCTTTCGACAGTATCTGAAGTTAGTTACACATGATCATGATCGTTAAACACAAAACATTGCCTTCTTTTGCCAGTGTCTGAATCTATGTGCATAATCCTATTTATTGACGTTGCCTGAACGTTTGTGCACATAATCACGATCAACAACAAAAAACCAGCGTTCCCTGTAACAGACTTTAAACGTATGGATATATGATCATACTTAACGCACCTGTACACAAATAATCGCCCGGTGTTGGTGGTGTCTAAGAGTGAATATGATCACAATCAAAACTTCAAATCGGCGCCTTTTTTATTTGGCTTTAAAAAACGCTTAATAGAATATCGATCTCGGCCATATTCACGTTCTCTGTTGACGTTTACTTGATATATAATCACGATCAATACACCAAGAAGCGCCCTCTGTTGACAGTGTCTGAACGTGCATGTATGTTACGTATACATGATCACGATAAAAAAAAAATCAAAGCAAACAAAAACAGTGTCCAGTGTTGGCTGCGATGTCTGAATATAGGATGATCACGACCTATGAACCAAACTGCTCCACTTGTTGGTTAAACCTGAACACATGAATTTAACGTTAAAATATTAAAATATTACCAAAATATAGCTTAGATATTGTCTTAGATATTGTCATATTACATAATTATGACTGATGTAATTAAACTAAGGAAAAAATATTAAAACAGTATTTAATCACATGCGAGTTAAATCGAAGGTTCTGGCATTAATAGACCGTTGAAGCATGTTTAGTTTACTTAGTGCAAATGTGTACAATATTTTTTAATAGTATTGTGTTTTGAACAGAAAAACCAGGTATGCACAAACGACTGCATTTTTTCCACCAGTATCATTTTATATGTCTCACGTGATCAGCCTACGGTACTAGTTTTATCTACGTGTCGACAAAGCAGTCTTATTCATTAACAGAGAATAACTACTGAAAACCCAACTTCCCCAGACCATAGTGTATGTGCATTCAACCACCTGGCACGTTTTAATAATTCATTCTAAAATGTCATGTTGATAAGCCAATACTCTTGTTCTGTTAGACAGAGCGGTTCAGATGGCAAAACGCTGCTAGTTAACAAGGTAACGATAGCATTATCATGCAGGCAACATTGGCAGTGTTTGGCCTCCTTCTCTGAGGTCGGACCAGCTTTTGAAAGTGAAGAACATGTTTAAAATTTTGGATCATTCATGGTTATGGTGATTAATGTAAAGTAGAATGTGTTTCGGCAGTTTATAATATAAAGGGAGTATAACTAAGCAATCCTATGGAAGTAACTGTAACGGAAAGACAATGACAGATAGAATGGCGCGACAACAGGGCACTGCTTCTGTGTAGAGAATGTACCATGTAAGTAGTACTCTGTTTATGTACTAAGATAAATACTGTAATGGATATATTCAGAATATATATCTATCGAACAGTTTAAAGAGGTGAGTATTCATGCTTCTGTCCCGATATACTGTACGTCATTATGTTTCTATGATGAGAAGCTAAATAGTTATACTGATATGTGTGTAGTACTTAATACATTGTTATTGTACTAAGACTGTGATACGTACGTAAAACAATGTTTATGTCGTTACGTACTTTTCTGTACTGAAATAAAAAACTAAATGATGTATTACATTTTGACATGTAGTTATGTACTGATATACCTTCTATCGTAAATTATTGTAGCACGTGACACGATACTGGTAATGCAGGTGTGTCATGCCGCATTCATATTGAGTAATCCCTTAACTCTGCATACGTAAGAAACACCTGTCCCATATGGAACAGGAATGTTGTGGAAAAGCTATATCCCACAAAAGTACATACGGTGACCCTCCATTCGGTAACTACATTTTAAACTGCATAAAAGCAAATGCTACGTTCAAAAGATTCAGAACTGTATCGGCTAGTATTGTAGTATTGTTGAAAATATGCAACACCCACTTCCGCTTTATCAAATATGAAAATATTTCAGTTGAACATCCTGAAAGAAAGGGAACGTATTTTAGCGTGACTAGTAGGAATGATTAATTAGAGGTAAAAGGACGGGATCCGCCAGAGAGTATTTAGTGCGTAGTAGAAAAAATATCAATGGCTAAGTGGTTAAAATAATACGTAAAGACAAATAAAACGAGCAGAGGACGGAAGTCGCAGCGTTACCATAAGTGAGGTAATCAATTTGACATTTTGGTGAGCAGAAGAATATATCTACCATCAAAACAGTCAGCATCTGACAGCGCTTCCCGGATAACCACTATTGTTAAACAAGCTTAATGTGAAGATTTTGCAAGTTTCTTTGATTTAAAAGCATACCAGTGGTGTATTTATTTATTTATTTAATTTTTTTTAAGATCTGTTCTTCATTGATTTGTAATTTTGAATTCGCAATGTCACTGTTTTACTAGCTTTACGGGTAAGAGGGAAATAAGTCAATCTTGATATGTGTATTGGGGTTTGGAAGTTCCTCCTTGTGTGTAGCACAACCTCGGATCATACCCAAATTTCTTTATCCCCATATATGCACCCATATACGATGCATTCTATTATTATAAATAAATATTCTCCAAATATATACGGGGAATCAATTCTACCAGAACTGTAGTTTTATCTCAGGAAAGCAAAGATCTATGAAATTATTTCGACCGAAAAAGACCTTTTCGTGGATCATAACACTTCAATGCAAGCTACTTATTAGCTTATTGTCATTTCTTACCTGTACTTAGCTCAGTTTGGCTCAGTAGACATCGATATAAGCCAGCAGTGGTCTTGTAATGCTAAATAGTCATATGTAATATACATGTACCAACCCGCACAATTCACTTCCGGTTACTATTTACACTAGTCCAAGGTACATGTAATACATGGAGTTGCGCATGCTCCCGCTTGGGTTCCTCTGCGAGTTATGTGTATAGTGTTTAAATGCACTGTATACAGTCATTAATGATTCACTGTTCATTTTTGTCACAATTTTAGTAAAAAGATGGCTTAAAGCTCCATTTTTTTTTTAAATCGTTTATTTGACACTCGCATTGGTGTTTATTACACAAAGATGGAGTGAAACCATGCAGTTTTGAGTGATAACACGACGATAAAGCAGATAACGTATGTGTATTACATTAATGTCTTCATTTTACATATTTTTGGAAAACGTACATGATGAATATTTATGTTGTTGAGAACCCCTCACTCTCTCAGTCCTTCGACTATTCAACAAAGCTATTCCAATGCTCATTCCCGACGACACATTTACACAAGCTCCTTCCATGGTTAATTTTCCAATGATTTACGCAATTTTCTTCCGTGTCACTCCCTTCGCCCATTTCCCCTATTCCCTCCAACACGCACCCTCATCGACAATTTCACAAAGTTCCTCCAATTTACACCCCTTCCGCCGATATACCCAACGTCTTTCTATATATGGTCATCTCACCAAACGATTTACCAAATCTATTGCAACGCCCATCTCCTCGTTCTCCGATGAGATCCACCCTGTGTCAACCCCCGCCACGATTCACCCAAAATCGACCCTGTGTCAACCCCCACCAGGATTCACCAAATATCATCCATGTGTCAACCACTCCTACGCTTTACCATAGCGTATCTTATCTGTACGTTTGTATTACATGTTTTGTTGAACTTGCCCTGGAAGTGTTTGTTTTAAGGATGTATTACATGTTTTTTTGACCTTGCCCTGGAAGTGTTTGTTTTAAGGATTTATTACATGTTTTGTTGACCTTGCCCTTGAAGTATTAGTTTTAAGGATGAATTACATGTTTTGTTGACTTTGCCCTGGTAGTGTTTGTGTTAAGGATGTATTACATGTTTTGTTGACTTTGCCCTGGAAGTGTTTGTTTTAAGGTTGTATTACATTTTTTTTTGATCTTGCCCTGGAAATGTTTGTGTTAAGGATGTATTACATGTTTTGTTGACTTTGCCCTGGAAGTGTTTGTTTTAAGGATGTATTACCTGTTTGGTTGACTTTGCCCTGGAAGTGTTTGTGTTAAGGATGTATTACATGTTTTTTTGACCTTGCCCTGGAAGTGTTTGTTTTAAGGATGTATTACATGTTTTTTTGATCTTGCCCTGGAAATGTTTGTTTTAAGGATGTATTACATGTTTTGTTGACCTTGCCCTGGAAGTGTTTGTTTTAAGGATGTATTACATGTTTTACATAACCTCAATTATCACGGTATTGATTTCCTGTGCGCGCGAGATGATACTTTTCAGCTGACTTTGATTAAGGATTAATTTTTTTCTCATTTTTGCTTATTAGGAAATCATGGAATTGTGTGTCCATGGTACCGCCTGATTATATATCGAACACTGACCCATCGTGACACCATTCCATCATAGGGACGTTTTCCTCATTCATCTACGTATCTGTTATTAGACTGCCATATCTAACGACCTCGTCTGCAGTATCCTCAATTAAATATCTTGTTAGAACACATTATCGTTATAATTATATTTAAAATAACTTCTTTTTCAATTAATTTTTTATTGATTTGTCTTTTCAAACAGAAACCAGTAGTTGTTCTTCCTATCAACTATCACGATTCTGTTTAAAATATTATTACGGTTATAGGGAGAATTCACGTCAAAAGTACGCGAAGCTGACAATGCTTCAAAATTCTGGACATCAAAAGCTTTTTCTTTCCTTGATTTGTCCAAGACATGTTTATCAAGCAAGAACCTAACAGTGTTCTTATATAAATGCCGTCTTTATAAAAAGCCCACAGTAATTGAAGAGCGGCATATGCTGATAGTATCGAGAGTCGTGTACCAGGCTCTCCAGTAAGAGTATTACTAATCCTTGGAACTACTTACCTCGAATTACACGTGACAGTCGCAAGTTTCCATCCGGCTTTTAACGAACAAATCGAAGACATTAGACGAAAAGAATGCAAATTGTTTTCAAAAGGTGACCTTCATTTTTTAAAATTATTTATAATTTATTTATATCATTTTATTCAACATCGAATTTTCAAAATATTATTGGATTGCCATTACCCGGTTATTAAGTGAAGCAGTTAAAATCTTCTGCAGCGCAACTCTTGTCAGGGTTTATTAAAGGTAGGTCCCTGACCTATTTCTGTGATGCTGCTCAATGGTTTTTGTGAGGCAGTCCCTCATTTAGTCTGTCAGCACCATACTGTGAGGCGGTTACTTGTATGGTCACTATGGGCTACTCTAGTGTCAGTTACTGAGAGGCAGTCCTTTGGTCGGTTACTGTGGTGGTCAGTACTGCCTTATTTGGTTACTCTGTGAAGTTAATTGGTCGGTAGCTGTGTGGCCTTTCATTGGTCAGTTTCTGTAAATAGTTGTACTGGTCGGTAACTGTGTGCTATTTCACTGGTCGGGTATTGTGTGGTAGTTCGTTGGTCGGTTACCGTGTGACAATCTACTTGTCGATGAAATTGTGGCATATCATTGGTCAGTTATCGTATGGTATCCACTGGTCGGTTACTGCTCTATACAATTGTGGCATTTCACTGGTCGGTTACCGTAAACAATTTCACTGCTCGATGACAGAGTTTAATTTCACTGGTCGCTGATAGTGTGGTATTCACTGTTCGGTTACCGTGTGGCATTTCATTGGTTGGTTACCGTATGGAATTGCACTGGTCGGGTACCGTGTGGCATTTCACTGGTCGGTTGCCGTGTTGCATTTCACTGGTCGTTGACCGTGTGGCACTTCATTGGTCGATTACCGTGTGGCATTTTACTTTCCGGTTACCGTGTGGCATTTCACTGGTCGGTTACCGTGTGGCATGTCACTGGTAGGTTATTGTGTGACATTTAACTTGTGTATTTCCGTGTGACATTTCACTTGTCGGTTTCTGATTGGCATTTTAACTGATCGGTTACTGTGTGGCATTTCACTGGTCGGTTACCGTGTTGCATTTCACTGGTCGTTGACCGTGTGACAGTTCATTGGTCGATTACCGTGTGGCATTTTACTTGCCGGTGACCGTGTGGTATTTCACTGGTCGAATACCGTGTGGCACGCACTGATCGGTTACCGTATGGCATTATACTGGTCAGTTACCGTGTGGTATTTCACTTGTCGATTACCGTGTGGTATTTAACTGATCGGTTACTGTGTGGCAGTTCACTCGTCGGTTACGGTATGTGTGGCAGGTTTTTGTTTGGTAATTATCATGTTATAATTTCTTGTTTGGTTACAGTTCAGTTTTCAATGCTGGAGTATTTTCAAACAGTTCATTGTTTGGTTTCAGCGTTGAATTTCTATGCTCAGTCACTATGCATAATGCATGTGGTTATTTCTATCCTCAACAGTGTATTCACGTTGATATCCGTTGTTGGGACAGTGTGCTGATGACTTGCAATTTAAT